CGACTCATCGTCGCTCCTTGACGTAAAAACGTATCTCAATTTAAACGTGAGCCCTGTTTCCCGTGTGGCTCTATGCAATCCGAGACTCATGTGGAGATAGAGATAGGACTTTGCGTCAGAGGAGCGACGATATCCCGGCTCGGCATTGTTTATCGAGAGCGGTTTTTCTTTTCAGGAGAAAACGCGAGGGAAATAATGGACTGATTTATATTTATTTTGTTTACGGTCAAGCAGATGAGTCACCTCAAAACAGCGCAAGTCCATCTTCAGGTTGCCGCAGTGGCTCACAAATGTGTGTACAAAGGATAAACTTTACACACTTCTAGACTGCCACAGAAGATCGTCTGACATTACGCTGGGAAAAAAAAACACATTGGATCTAGAGTCCAGACTCTTGAAAACATTGGCAAGAGAAAATACTCTTGATTCAATCAGATTTAAGCTTAAATCAAAAGGAAATCCGCTCAAATTAAGCGGTTTGGTTCTTGATTTAAGCAAAAATCAGATTGAATCAAGAGTATTTTTTCTTGTCGATGTTTTTAAGAGTCTGGACTCTAGATCCAATGTGTTTTTTCTCTCCAGTGTACTCTTACATGTAAAGTAAATGGAAAAATCAATATGAGGGATCTTCTATCGCAGTCTAAAAGTTCATAAAATTATTTGGCGTGAACTCTACATAGGAGTTTAATCAAATGTCCAGGCAGGTAGGCAAATTTTGATAGTTTACGGATCACTTATCTTTCAAAAATGCTTGGAGCTGAGATAACTTTCTCATCGCTTAAATGTAAGCGCTACGGGACGATCGGAGCGCGTTTCGCCTTCACTTTTCCAAGTAGGCAAAACAGCTTCCCACGAGGCCGAATAGTGGTATCGCTCATGGTGGAAACATGTTTTGAATGTGCGTGGAGGTATGGTACCTAATACTTCCGTTGCGCATACGTAAGAGCAGCCGGGCGATCAACGTTCCGCCTTCACTTTTTGAAGTAGGCAAAACGGTCTCCCACGTGGTCGAATAGTGGTATCACTTACAATGCAAACGTTCGTCGAATATTCGTGGAGTGCGTAGACACACAAGTGCAGTGCTAACTAAATCGCGTTTCGCCTTCACTCTCCGAAATATACAAAATGGCCTCCTATGTAGCCGACTAGTTTTTTTTTTTTGTTTTTTGTTTTTTTTTGTTTTTTTTTTGTTTTTTGTTTTTTTTGGTTTATTTTATTTTCCTAAAATTAAACCGAAAGCGGCAATTTTAAAACGCCACAATGAAGGTGCGTTGTTTTCCACTTTAATTGTCGATATGTATTTTTTTACGAGAACTCGAGGAATCACCGAATTTTCGAACTTTTCTGCAGTGTATCGTCTCATTTTGGTGTTAGATTCCTATTTGGCCTGATTTTTTTTAAAATTAGATATTATTTATTTTCTTTCTTCCTTTTTTTTTTTGTTTTTTGCTTTGCTCCCTTGCGCTATCCTCCGTTGCATTTTATACTTTTTTTTGAAGCTGCGATCCCAGCAAACCGCGGATGGGATCAGCCTGGACGCGTTGTGCCCGCGATGGTTTTTTCGATAGGGATCTGTTTGGTTTTGAGCCGTGCGGGGCCGGAGCGGCGGGGGGNGGGGGGGGGGGCGGCCGGGGAGAAGAAAGGCGATGCCGGCCCTCTCGGACTCGGGAAATGGGAAAAAAAGGCGCGCTCCGTTTCTTCCTCGCCGAATGGGCGTGTTTGGATGTTTTATATGCAGGTAGTGAGTGGAGTAATCCCCATGTGCCAAAGGGGGTTAAAAAGCCAATTTAAATCAAGGTGTCGGTCGCGGCCCCGCTTCGTCTGCCCGGGCCCCGCTTAATCGCCGTTGCCAAATCGCCCCGAAAATTCACCTTTCTTGAATCGTGGTCTGATGAACTCGGATTTATCAGATCCGAATGGGATGAAATTAAGGATTTTATTTTTAAGACAAATGATAGAGGAAGGTTCGGCTGGAAACACCGCAGCCTTCCCCAGTTGGTAAAGAAATGGAATTTGTTTAAAAAACTTTAAAACTTGGTACTAGGTTGTTCCTTTCCAAACGAAGTGATTAAAGTTCTTAAATATTCACATTATCATTCTCCTTCTCCTTCATCTTATTTTTTCTCTTCATCCACGTATCCGTGTTCTCCGCCTCCTCCTTATTCTTCTTCTGCTCCTTCTTATTTTGTTTGTTCTTTACACCTCTTCTTGTTCTTCTATGTTTTCTTTTTCCACAGATTTTGCCTCTCTCTATCTCTCCTGATTCTTCTTCTGTATTTTTTTTACTCTCCTCACCACTCTTCCTCAACCTTTCTCCCCCATATAATTTTCTCCTCCGCCTCCTCCTCTTTCTTCTTCTTCTTCTTCCTCCTCTTCCTCTTCTCCTTCTTCCTCTCCTCCTCCTTCCTCTACCTCTCCTGGTTCTTCTTCTTTATTTTCTTATTCTCCTCACCACTCCTCAACTTTTCCCCCCCTTATCATTTTATCCTCCGCCTCCTCCTTTTTCTTCTTCGTCTTCGTCTTCTTCTTCTTATTCTTCTTATTCTTATTCTCCTCCTCCTTATTTCATTTGTCATTTTCACCTCTCTTCCTCCTCCTCCTCCTTCTTCTCCTCTTTCTCTACCTCTCCTGGTTCTCTTTCTTTATTTTTTCCTTCTATGCATCATTCCTCCTCAACTTTTCTCCTTCTCATCTCTTTCTCCTCATTCTCTTTTTTCTTCAGTTTCTTCTCCTCTGCTTTCCAATTTTAAATATATAAAAAGAATCCCACGCTAAAATTTTAAGTCTGCCAGACTAAGGTCAGCTATACCATGTAAATTCCGCGGAGTCTGGCAAGAGTGGATCTAATGGTCCGGCTCTCCTAGACAGCTTGGCGAGGCGCTCTCTCTCTTAACCTCACTCGAACACCTTCTGACGCGTATTGATTATTCTCATTATTTTCCCTCTCTCTCGCGCTCGCGCCGGCTCCCTCTCGCTCGCTCCTCTCGCGCATTCCACGCTCGGACGTCGTTTGCTCGCCGCCCGGCCCCGGCTCTCTTTAGTATTTTTCAGCGTAATTTGATTTTTAGCATGATTTACTATGTGCTTTAATACGGACTCTGTTAGCTGTTCCGTCAACTATTCTCCAGGTACAAATTATATCCAAGCCGCGTTGCCGATTTTGCGCCCTGCAGAGGCTGATCCGGAAGACAATACAGACTATTAGATATCTTTGATGATATGAGGGAAGTCTGCGGGTTGATAATTGAATTTGATAGACGAAGCGATAGACACAGAAGACAAAGTAAAAACGGAGCTATCCTTTAGGTTGAAACGAGTGGCTCTTATAGACTCAGAGACAGGGAGGCTGTCAGAGGGCTGATTACTGAAAATGGTAGACAAAGAGATAGACAAATAAGACGCAAGGAGTAAGGAGCGATCCAATTGGTTGAAACGGGTGAATGTCATAGACTGATGGGGGAAAAGGATGGATTAACTATGTGGTTTCTCGGTAAATGTCGTTAGTTAGTCTATTGCGTGCCTCCTTTATCTATTGCAACCACCCGCTTCCACCCATAGAATAGCTCGATTTTTTTGTCTTCCTTGTCTACAGGTTTGTCTAAAAATTTCAATAATTAGCTTGCTGATGAGACGACTCGTGACATGTCTGCGGGCTGATTTTTGAAATTGATGGACAAAGTGATGAATAAAAGAGACAAATGGAAAATGAAGCGACCTTATATTGATTGGAAAAAATTTTTCATATAGACTAAGGACTATAAGACTATTATAGACTATGATGATGGACTAACTTCAGGGTCTCGCGGGTTATCGATAGTAGTTGTTAGTCTAATCTTATCTCCTCTGTCCATTGCAATCACCCGCTTCCATCCATAAGATCCTTCCATTTTCGCTTTGCTTTCTTTGTCTATAACTTCGTCTATCAATGTCGATAGTCAGCTCGCTGTAGTGCGTTCTACTTCGGAGCCTGCAGGAGCAAGTGGGACCTGGAAAATACAATGAGCATTGTAAAAGGCTCGATCCCTTTCTTTTCACGTAGGAAGTACATCACGTAACGTGTGCTATAAATATTAATTACCTTCTTTTCGAAAAACTTACCAAAACTGAACATCAAAAATAAAATATTTCGTGACCTATTGTTTTATTTAAGAAATATATGCAGGTTTGCCGACCGGGTCCCCGAATGGCAACGCTGTGGTCTAGCACCTTAGTTTACTGTACTAACTGACCGATGCGCATTGCCTTCATACCAACACCTTGCATCGGTATTGGTGCAGTGTGCGTGTGTTGGAGGTCGTAAAATTATTATAGCGGCCGATTCTAAGTAAATCATGATGACTTACATCCGAACAACAATTTCACACACTTTCCTCACGCCTCCTTTGTGCGGACGACAATCATTTTATGCTCCCCTCATTGACGAGGCTTAATTTTAGCCGATAATGTATTTTCTTTATTCCTAAATGGTGGAAATCCCCGAATATAAGCAGCTTTATGTGCGGAAAGCTGAAAAGATAATTTATTTGCGTTTCCGTCCTTACGTTTCGATAAAACTTATAAAGTCTTGAGGATAGTTGATCCTCTCGAGAAAATATGTCATATAAGATTCATGACAACCCCCTGATTGGATTTTGATAGGCAATTTCTCTTTGTGTCATATCAGACATCGGCACGGTATACTTGCTTTCGAGTTGACCTTTCAGGTTTTATTAAAATAATCAATACTTTAATTTTTTTATTTTATATGCTGAGAGCTATTAATTAGCAAGGCACAAACCATTCTTAACATCTAGACGCCCTCAAAAATCTTCAAAATTTGAAGGAAATGCATGCGTCCGGTAGCAACAATGCAACATGCTGTCATTGATGCCAGTTGATTACTCTAATATGTAATCACCTTTTATCACCCACACACACAAAAAGATAACCACACACTATGACGTCACGTCATCTTCCCCCTGACTGCATATATAGTTGCATAATCTGCTCCGTGAAGGCATTCAAAATCAGTGTGACATCTCAGTTCATAAAATCATAGGCTGTGTTCCCTCATTCAATAAGTGTAAAATTAATCCAAAATTTGAAGAACGCGGCCGGTTCTACGGAGAGGAGAATTTTTTTTGTGAATAACGCTATCACAATGTTAAGCGACATGTGTCGCCTCTCAATCCCTCATTTCATTGATGTAATATAAGAGGACGCGATCAAATTTAAGTAAACGATTAGATATTAAACCCAGATTAACTATTTTTCCTAGGTGCATTCTCATACAGCTCCGAAACAATACAAGCAAGTGCTCCAAAATTTTAAACGTTGTTTGGTACTTTCATCTTCCCTAAACTTGAGGATATTTATTTCATAAAAGTTCATCCCAGTGAATGACTTTTTACCCCCAGATTGGTTGTGGATGGTGGACAAAGAATTGGTGCTTTGCAAGAGCAGTAAAAATGACAGAGGATTCACATCTTTCGTCAGGAGCAAAGTCTTTCGGCACATTATTCGAGGAGCAGAAGTCAGAGGAGCCCCTGAAGCCCGTCCCAGTGAAATACCTTGTGCAGGATCTGTTGAAAATATTACATAGAGATATTCCAGATTCTCTTTACGTATGTCTCTCATAGCACTTTCCTCCTAGTGTATAAAACAATTTTGCGTTCCATAGATTTGTGCGAGTAAACGACACAGAAGAAAGTAAAATGAAAGTTGAGTAAAAAAAGTCATTAAAAGTGAGAAAATTGGCATCTTGACGCCTCTTGTATTTTTTTAAGACTAAAATGCTGAGAAGTCGGTCAAATTTTTGCTCTTTGCGCCTTTTTTTCGTGCTTAATAATTCTAATACAATCTGGAAATTCAGGCTTGAAATATTTATGAGTTCCATTGCGTAAGGCAAAAAAACCTAAATTATATAAAACAAAAAAGAGGTGTATAATGAAACAATGGCTAGAGAGAGCAGAATCATATCGGTACACATACTTCTCTCTTTCAACCTGAGTTATTTTTTCTTGGAAATTTTTTTAAGGAATTTTGAAATTCTAAGTATTTTGTTAAATTCAATCTTTTTTTCCAGGCAGATGGATTGACTAAAAACGTAATTTTATGGCGGAAAAATGGAAGCATTCCTGAGGATCATGTAATCTATGGGCCGTTTGAAGATCTTAAGTATGGTGCCTGCGTTAGCATATTCAACGTTAGTATGTTTTCTAATCCATGTGAGCATGTGAGAAAGACAAAAAAAAAGCAATGATTTTTTAGGAATTTTTAGGAATACATTAATGAAAGAACTTCAGCAAAATTTTTATCTGTCAATTTTCCTCCAGTTTTGACAATTAGTTGGAACGATCACAAACATGAAAATTTGAACCCAAGATCTGAGATCAAGTAAAATTAATGATTTGCTCAATTTTGATGCGCGACTTTCTTCTCCCTTCTTTTATAAATTTTAGGTTCGAATGTGATTCCATGGGATCGGTCTATGTAAAAATGCGCAACATTCCTGAGGGGAAGGCTCAAACAGGAGAAGACGCACAATGAAACATAATTTCCCTACATTTCTGTTTCATGCACATCACCTTTTCATATCCAATAGAAACTCGAAGTTGCACTATCTCGTAACCAAACTTTCCGTAAAAAGAGAGCTGACCTTTTTGATTTTGTTCTGCAGACGTCGTTCCAGGCGGTTAGTTTCTACTCTCAAGACCCCGAAGACCATAGGCTGACTGAAGCGTTGCTGAAGACAAATTTGATCGATTGGGGCTCAAAAAAAATTAGCTGCGTCTTGGACGGTGTGCCAGAAAAGCTAACACCAGTAATAGATCGGATAGTTTCCGAGAAAAACCTAGAGAAGCATTTCTCTATCAAAACTCAATTGTATTGGATGGACAAAGAGCGAGCTAGAAATTTAAAGATAGAGTAAGCTACCTAAATACACTGTTAAAAAAAACGGAGTGAGACTCAGCACAAGCGCGAGTAAGAACGGGCCCTCACTTCTCCGACGGAGAATCGGCTGGACGGATTTTGGGTGCCGTACGCATAGAAATCACTCCGACGCCGGACGGATTCGCGGGAGCCGCAAATTTAGGGGTTCGCAGCTAGGGGATGGTGGAAAGGGGTTAATTGTGGAAATAATTGTTGAAACCATGAAAAATAAAAATAATGAAATCATTGGTACGTGATTCAACCGATTTTGAAGGTTAGAAATTTTCTACCTACCGTGGGAATTGAACTCGGGACCTACCTAACACTAACCGACGACCCTACCGATTGAGCTATAGCGAACGATGCAAGAAATTGACGCAAAAACGGTATTTAACGTCGATTTGAACGGGCCGCTAAGATATTTTCAATCTACCTGGATTTGTCCGTGTATTTAGTTTACTTTGCTATATTTTTTAACTCTATTTTATCGTTTTACTTTGTTTTATTTCCTTGTTGTCTCTATTTTTTCTTCACTCTCTTTTTTTTTCAAGCACTTCATTTTTTTTTTCTTTAATTATTTACTTCTCATTCCTTTACTTTGTTTTATATTTACTGTGATTTCTTTTAATACTTCATCATAATTTTTGGACTTCACTTTACTCTTAAAATTCATTCTATTCTTTAACATCATTTAGTTGTTTCCCTTATTTTATTTTTTTCTTCATCTCCTTGCTCCCTCTAATTATTTACTTCAATTTAGTCTTTGACTTCATTTTATCATATATTTGATTTACTTTATTTTATTTCTTTTCTATTGTCTCTGTTATATCATAATTTCGACTATTCTATTATTTTTTCTATTTTTTTCTCTTTAAATTTTTCATTTTCATTCTGAGAGTGGTAGGCTTAAAGGGGAGAAGAGAAGAGACAGTATATAGCGCTAGTGCGAGGGAAAGAAGGTGCGCGTGACTCCGGGCCGTACTGCAGCTCCGGTGCGGAGTGCTTTGACTACACATGCAGCCCGTCTCAGCACCTACGCGCTGAACCGCACTCCCGTGTTCATTCTCACTCCGGATTTTCCGTCGGACGGAATCAACGATTTTTAACAGTGTACCCTAATAATTTGATTTCTAAATTTTTGAAGATTAACCCTCGGCTAGGTACCTGGTTGGAGGTAACTTAGAAGTTAACCTCTCTGTGTATATCAGCAATCCAGAGAGATTTATGAAATCTAAAAAAATTAACCAACGTGTGCTCAATCTGAATTTTTTCACTTCAGCAAATTGAAAATTTGCAGGTACCTAAAATTTGGTAAATTTCACGTTTAAAATTAAATTAATAAGAGAAGTGACTGTGAGAAAAAGGACATGCTTGATTTATACATAAAAAAATTATTGGAGGAAATATGAAAGAGGAACCTAATCTGGGAAAATGCATGGGTTTGCATGAGAAGTGCCGCCAGATGACATTCCATCACTTTTGAATCTATTTTTCTACAATTTTCTAAAAAAAAAAATTAAAAACACTGCAAACTCAGCTCAGTAAGCACCGAGGCAATGACATTTTTTGTGCAAATTCTTCTCAATACTCCCATTCAGAAAATTCTTAAAAACAAAAACAATAACAATTATAATCCAGAAAGCTTTGCTCTTGATAGGAATCATGAAGGCTAATGACTTTGAAATTTTTCTTTTTAGGTGTCCACCAAACATCACGCTTGAACAACTGACCACTAAACATGTCGACTACCTAGATCGCTACTGGCCACACAAATTTGAGGGCTCAAAACAATACCTGCATACCTTACTGGAGCGTAATTTCAGCCTGGGGGTATTCCAACCTGGCACACAGCATCCTATTGCATGGGTAGTGTGCAATCAGGCTTCTGCCATCGCAATGCTGTTTACATTGGAGTCGCATAGACGGAAAGGCTATGCACAACTTCTCTGTACTGCGGTGGCTCGCAAGTTAGGGGACATGGACATAGACCCCCGTGCGACCGTTTTGGTTGACAACGAACCCTCAAAAATGCTTTTCATCTCCCTTGGTTATACAACTGGTAGTCATTTTCATTACATTGGTCTCAGGAGCAAGCTGAAGAAAAGAGAATGAAGATGCACTTCTGATGCTCCAAATCCTCACTATTTCTCAGTGAAAGTGGCGATTTTGTAAGTTGGCAACTTTGTATACGTCCTCCATTTTAATCCATTAAAAATATCGATTTTGGGCGAAGCGAGCGGTCTCACCAAGAATCGATTGTTTTACATACATTTAAATGGAGGAAAAACGGTGTTGCCAACTTTCAAGAATCGCCACTGCTTAGTGATGAAGGGTTAGGAAGGCTTAAAATCAAAAGAAGAGAAAAAATCAGTAAAAAGTAGTCTTGTCAATTTAAATCCTACATTGAATAATATACTTCAATTACTACATACACTGAAAAAAATGAGTTAGCGTCAGATGACTAAAAATGGTTTCTATACACTAACTCAAATTGTGTGATTTGGACACACATGATTTTTGGTTTCTGTACACTAACCACTATTAGTGCTGGAAACTAATTCCGCTACTCTAATTCGCATTCGGTAGGGTTGGGTCAACCTAACCTCAAAACTGAGAGAGGAGAAAACGGCTTAGCGAATGATAACTGGACAATACTTTCAGGAAAAGAAGATTTCTTAAGAGGTAAAAATCAACTGACCGGTTCTAAATGAACGACAGAGGAAAGGAATATCCCATAGGTATGTGCAAGTAGACAGAATTATCCTCTAGAGAGACACACACTCACACATGAAACGGTAGCGAATGTTCACACTGAATAAACATATCTCGTCCGAACACTTGAGATATTCTTTTGAAATTACGGGAGAACACGAACTATAGAAGTAAGCAGTAAGTTCACAGATTTTCGTAAAATATAAACTGAACGCGGAACGCTTTAATCGCAATTTAATACAGAAGATTGACGACTTCAACGAATATCATGCTTGTTTACGTTTTGAATCGAACAGACGATTTCTAACCTTAACAGGTTTATTTATGTTGCTTTCGAACGTTTTCAAGAAAGAGAGGACACTATAAATCATACCGGGAGTATTTACATTGTCAAACGAGCCCGAAATTTCACATTTTAATTGATTTTCACGAGCTGACGCGATTGAGGCTGTTGTACCGACGCCACTTTTTCGAAACTAAATAAATGTAACGGACAATGTGGCAGTTAGTGTTGAGGGCGAATTAGTTTGGCCCGAAGGTGAATTTGTCTTACCACAGCGCTAATTTTACAGCTAGTGCTGTTTTCCAATTCTGGTTCGCGCTCTAGTAAAGTCAAGTCAGCGTATGAAGCGAATTGATTGGTGCTTCAGTACAATAAATTAGTTCTGAAGCCTAATTTTGATTCTACTTGGCGAGAACTTACCAAATTAGTTCTCAACGCTAACTACTTTTTTTTCAGTGTAATTAAGACACTCAAGTTTTATTAAATTTTCGTGAAGGGTCTCATTTTTAGCTTTTGGATATCCTTTGAACCTTCCCCTCGGAGTGCTTAAATCGATACCACACCAGAAGAGCAGCTGAAAAACAGAAAATTCCTACCAATTTCGCTTTTCATTACCATGTGGTACTCAAAAGACTTAAAACTCTATAAAAAATTCTATTTAAAAAAAATGAAAAAAAAAAAGTTCCAAAACATTACCCGATTGACTTTTGAGGCTATCTATACAAGTTGAACCAATCGATATCGATGCAATCTCACCTGTTTTATGTATCGAATACGATCCATGAGTGGTACCGTCACCGTAGAGATTCTCCATGACTTCGAATTCGATTATTATACCAACAACAATGAAAAAGAATTTCTCAATGTTAACATTGTGAATTAATCGAAACATATCGATTTCCTATAACGTAAAACTAATAGCGCATATGACATCGTAGAATCTGTATGGTGACGTCAGGACTAATAGCGTCTACGGGGCGGTATCAAGTACGAAGGTCGAGACAACCCGCTGACAAAACTGCCCCTCGACAGCGCGGCGGCGCGGGGCTACCAGGGACTCAGGGAGGGCACCGATGGCTGGCGCAGGGGAGGGGTCAAGACGGGGGCAAAATAAACACGCAAATAAAACAAAGGGGGAGGGGAGGCACGGCCTACCGGTGTATACATATGCGCCGTGCAATCTGAAAAAAAATATGGAAGCGGGGAAATTTAATATTTCGCGATCGCACAGCGGATAAGCAATGCGTGCGGCGAGAGGGTGAATATGCTTACATAAACCAGCGTCGATGCCGAATTTACCGTTGTATTTTTTTTATTTTTCGACGGGAAATGTATGTCGGTAGTTTTCCTTGGATTAGAACTCATTAGATTTAAATAGAGTATATAACGGAATAACAAAGGTTGATCCAGGCATCTCGAAGTGGAGGGTTGGACTTTTTCATGGGGCCACCCACAAGGGGGGGGGGTGTCTAGTAAACATCTCAGGTCAAAAGGGCGATCTGGAGGACTTTTTCTAGAGAAATGTCGGAATTATAAAGCATTTCTTGCGCAGTTTCAGTCAATGTCGTCATGAATAATTACCAAATTTCTTATCCAAGAACCGTAAAGTATCAAGTACGAACCAAACTTAAAATTTTAAATACCTGTACAACTTCCTCTTTGCTTTTTTAATTTGCTATCTAAAGCTACACGGTTCGATTTTACTCGAGATTCATCCCTTTTCTATTGAGTGTGTCACCTGAAAAGATGTTTAAAGTTAGAGGGCTAGGATCAAAAGCGCATGAATCCAAGGTGGCTTTCTTATCTTGGGGGAAGTTAGGCCCAAAAATCTACAAAACTGTTTTTTTCTATGAAACCCAAAGAATAATTCTATTTGCACTTTTGAAATTCGTATGTCTAATTAAACTGATTCTAAGGTGTAATTTAAGATGTAGCCAAAAAAAATTCACGCAGCTCAAACAAAATTACAGTTTTTTGTGGCTCTCTGAAAGTTAGAATAACTTTGTGCCCTTTTGATCCTACATGCTGTGAGAGGAAAGGAAAATATATGTCTTCTATGGGTGATTTCACAAAGATTTTGATTGATCAACACTCAGTAGAAAACTTTGTTGACCTCGCACGATGGATACGGAAATTTGAAGCTACAAATACATACATTTCGTTTTATGATTCATTTTCCTCCTTTCAATTCCTCTTTCAAAAGGAAAGTAATTATTCTTAATCGAGGACTGTATCGTCTATTGCATACAATTATTCAAGTCAAGTGCAATAATCGTTAGTTCTAGTGAAAGATTACCAGGAAAGCGGCAACATAAAAACCCGGCGGAAAACCTGCCCGAGTTGATAACCGTGTAGAAGGGTCATTAAAATGTCGCGTGTTATTTGCGCGTAATACGGGGCTAGATCGGGCTCCGGCAGAAAAAACAGAATTATTTCAATATGTACATGCACTTTAAAGATAATAATTGCTTTATTTGATTATATCATGTTTGTGCGCTTAGAGCCGTATTTAAATAATTATTAGTAAGAAAACAGTTATAGTAAGCTAATTCTTTGCTTTGCGAGAGCCTCACCCTAGCGTGTTCCTTCGAGCGCTGGCTAAGTGTCGGAAAATTTACATTTTTTTCATTAACTTGTATGATAAAGCTAAGTGACTGCAGACCTGTTTCCCATGATGTAATGGATTTTCTTTGAGGGCACGCACTCACGGTATCAATCACAGGCCAAATTCGATGTTGAAGGGGTATCATGAAAATCTGTAATTCTCAGATAAAGCTGACTTAAAAGGAGTCCTTTTGCTGTTTAATAAATTAAGTGAAAGAGACAAGTTTTTCTTTCCACGTCAAAGGAAACTCTAAATCGATGGTGAAACTGCCAGACCACGTATCTCGGTTTGCGACGTTGTAGACTTCCTGTCATACTTTAATTTTTAAATGGGAAACTACTTAACGCTAATCCTTGAAAACTTCCGTGTTTTTTCTTCTTTTGCGAAGAAAACTCTGCGAAAATTTCGAGAGATAATGTTGATTTGCTCTCCTTTAAAATGATAAATCTGGAGCGGAGATTTTTAAACACCGCAAACGAGATACGTGGTCTGGTAGTTTCTCTGTCGAAATGTTTAGTGCTCAGAAACATAACTTTTTTTGCGATCTCTAGGGCCGGCGACGTTCTGGTTCTATGCATTTAAATTATAAACGTTTTTCGGAAAATGGACAATGTCGCCATAAAAATCAGTAATTTTTACCTCATCAGCACAATAGGCAACGCCGCGCCGCGCCGGTGTAAAGCTAATGTGTAGCAGATCCAATCAAAGCTTCAGTTAGTGTCGCATGCGACGAATACTCAGAGGCGGATCCAGCAATTTGGCAACATCGGATTCCCTCCATTTAAACCTATGTTAAATAATCGATTCTTGTTGGAGCACCTGACCCCTCCAAGAATCGATACAATTCCGCAGGTTTAAATGGAGAAAAACAATGTTGCCAGTTTGCCTGATCCGCCAATAGAATACTAAAAACTAATTTCATGCGATTGCCTGGATACAACTATTTAAACTCCATGGATGGCCGTGTTGCATACGCGCGGGATTGAAGGCGTTTTGCAGAGTCTAACCGTCTCGCTAGCGCCGCTCGGTGGAACTAGCCAATGAAAGGAGTCGAACTAAATGTGGAAATAGTAAAAGCTCATATCAATGTAAAACCGGTACGTAGAGGTTTTAGAAGTGGTTATATTGATCTTTTGGTGAAAGTTTCTTCGAGGAGAACCCCATGTTTATAATGTGAAGATATTAACATCAATATTTGCAATTTTAGTCGACAATTTTACAGTGATCAAAAGACCCGAATGAGGAGGATAAACAAGAGGAAACTGATTATACATTTTTACTCATAGTATCATATTTCATTCTTTTAATGGCGAGAGGTTTTGAACACATTTCAGCATTTTCAAGATTGAAGAGGGGGAGGGCAGAGCGCAGATCCCACCTCACGCGAAAAACGCAACTATCAGTGGCCTGGAGTGCTTTGCGATATATCGATTGATCTGCCATTTAAACCTATGGAAAGGATCGATTAACAGGGTGTTCGCAGCGAACACCTTAATAATCGATTCTTTACCATAGCTCCAAATGGGGAAATATTGACAATCGATCATTCACGCCTCGCCACTGGCAAGGCAACTACATTATGCCATGCTAAGGTAGAACATCGTATAAATATTCGACAGTTCCCACATTTTCCCGAATAAAACATGTATTTTGTAGAAAATTCATGCATATGTTTCCTTAAAATTTTCAGATATTTTAGAATAAATTGCTTACAAAATTGTCTGAAAATTTTGATGAAAAATATTCACGATTTTCCCAGTAAATTATTTTTCTCTTGAAGGAAATATGGTGACGTCTGAAGGCTCTTACGGCGTTCTTCCATAGCACGGTA